TTCTGTGCACTGGCCCAGACTAACCCAAAGCCCTCCTCCTTTGGCTGTTTTCTTTCTGGTAACAAAGTGACTTGTGATATGATGATTAGTTATCATTAAAGATAACAATTAGCTTTGGATTCAGAGTCTTGCATTTGGCTCAGTAGTTTATCATGATTTGTGTCAGGCAATCTCTACATCAACACAGTGAATGGCAGAGCGTTGTGAATGGCTCACACCTTGAAAGGATGGAGTATGGGGAAACAGGGAAACGGATGAGTACAGGTGAGTGGGTGAGTACGGTAAGGAGAGAACGGGAGACACCCACTCTGTCCAGGAAGACTTTACTACAGTCCTTGAGGGTCCTTCTTCCTCTCCAGGTCCCTTCTTTCCCATCCTTCTTTGGCTGGTATGCCCATGTGACCAGGCATTGCACTTGAGTGTTTAATATCTGTATCGCTGTTATATTGTAAGTTGCCAAGAGTGGAAATCATTTGCTGTGGTCCCAGTGCCTTGTATACTGTAGGGGCCTAATAAATATTTTCAAATGAACAAGTGCGTGACATGAGTAAATGGACACAATAACTTTTATTTCTGCTCCGTATTTCTCAAATGGAATTCCTGTGTATGTCTTGTAGCCTTGGTTGGACTTGATGGAATCAGTTCCTTAAACTCCTCAACTAATTCCTTTGGTCCAGAATGCTCCTTGCTAATCAGAGCAGCATTGAGCTCCGTGAATCATGGAGTTACATTTAATGAACCACGAGGGATATAAAGTGAAAGGTAAAATCTGTATCACCCGAGTTATCCCTGAAAATGTCACTGGAAGAAACCTGTCTCTTATTAAATCCAACACAGGTAAGATTTTACTTTACTTTCATTACATATTAACAGATCTGGCAAGGCACCTGAGAAGTACTTGGCTTAAATTTAAAGGCCATAGTCTATGAAAAAAAAAATGTGTCATTAAAAATATTTGGATCATGCCCCAGTCAGTGGGATACACAAACACAACTGGAAGTTCAGCAGCATCTGACCCCTAATCCCTGGCTCATTTTCACACCCAAAGGACTCATGCAGGGTGGAGTAACAGGCCTCTTTAAATTGTTATTTCAGTYTTATACAGAATAAGACTGAAAATATATGAATCAGGGGGTTGGGGTTGTGGCTCAGTGGTAGAGCACTTGCCTCGCATGCGTGAGGCACTGGGATCGATCCTCAGCATCACATAAAAAAATAAATAAAATAAAGATATTTTATTCATCTACAACTAAAGAAAGATTATATAAATAYATGAGGATTACATTTTTTTAAAAAAATTAGATATATTTTTAGTTGTTGATGGACCTTTATTTTATTCATCTATTTATATGCGGTGCTGAGAATTGAATCCAGTGCCACATACTAGGCAAGCGCTCTACCATTGAGCCATAAYCCCACTCATGAGTGTTCTATTTTAATAAAAGAAAATTATAATATACTTGGCTAAAAGAGATAAACACTTTTTAAGTCAATGAGTGCATGAAAAATATGAGACTGCCAGATTAATCTGGCTTATAACATTTCAGAACATATTGAAACAATTATCTCTTTGTCTTTGAAGTCAAAGGCAAAAAGCAAATGTTAAAACGATTATCCTTTTGCCTCTTCTTTAAAGAGGCTCACAGACATTGTCTCAGCRGGACCTATGATATGTTTTGGAGGTGGATAAGTAAGAATGTGGACTCTGATTTTGCTGGTGGAGACATGAAAAGCTCAGGGAGAGTCTTGGAGTGTATGGAGGTCAGCAATGGCGCCCTGGCTAGAATCCCCATGCCCTGGYCTCAGCTCAACATCGGCTCCCCTGACCCAGGTCGCAATCCAGCTTTTAGAAACCACAGCTATTCAACTCCACCTACTTCTTTGGGAGCTCAGTCTGAAGAGTGTTCACAAATTCCTATTGGGAGATTGACTATGTTAATCTGCTGACTGTGAACATTCCCAAAGCTTCTATTATTAGCCAAATGTTTGCGGAAGCTCACTATCTCACATTTTGACAGCCCTGAATCATTCTCACCTCTCCCTTATCCCTTCCCTACCTTGCCTGTAYTCAGCAAAGCTTCAAGACACAGCCTGGGTGATAACCTCTCCAACTGACAGATGTCTGTTCACTGAGGAACACCTCGACACCCCTAATGGACACTGCCACCCGTGGAGGGGAGAGATGGAAACTGTTTTATCAGTCGACTGTGCCCAGTGCCCACTTCTCCAGTGTGGGAAATGGTTCCTTTTATTTCTGCTGGAGCCACTGGCCAGGTAAAGCAGGAGGGCTTTGTGGGTGGGAGTCCTGTAATTATAGAATAATTCAGTTTTTCCAATAATGGGGGATGTAAAAAGACTCCATAGCTTTTAGGCTCTTAAATGAGAAAGATTAATTTTAAAAAAATAGATTAGAGAAAATAGCTGAGATTTGTTGAGTTCCTCTGTTGGGGTTCCCAGTATATGATACTCAGAATACTAGGTTCCATTGATGGCCACTTGATGAGGTTGACTGGAGCCCTACTTTCTAACCTTCTCCCTTGAAACTGAGCACAAGCCCTAGGTCAGAAGAGTCTCCTTGATTCCAACATGCTTATTTAATATTTCTGATTCAGTCCAGGTAAGTGATTGGGCCCTGAGTGGGAGATTTCCTTTCCCTCTTTTATCTTCTTTATTTCATGTTCCTCACTTCCATAAGTACCTGGCAGTCGGTCCCAGCTTGGCACTCACAGAAACAGGCAAGACCAGGAGACTGACCTGAATCATCTCCTCAAGCCGGCCACCATTGCTTCCACCTGGTGGATCTATGCTTTCACTTACAATCAAGGTCACATTTAAATTTTGGTCATGCCTCATTTGTTATTTAGACAGTATTGATTAAGTACCAACAACATTCTAGACACTGTATTGAGTAGCAGTGATATTGGGAGGCAGGAGGTAGCTCTGTTCTAGCTGTATAAACTTGGACAAGTAACTCCGTTTCTCTGTGTCTCAGTTTCCCCATCTGGAATATGAGAATGACCATCATGGTACCTGTGTCCTGGATAGTTGTCAGAATTCAATACCCATAAAACCTTTTGAATAGCTTCTGGTACACTGTAAGAGAACAATGACTATGGACTGTTATCATTTTGGTCACATCAAGAAGTAACCCTTCCGTGGAGCTCAATTTTCTAAGTTAAGAAAAAAACAGAAAACAAATACTGGATACAGTTACCTCCTTCTCCTTATGATTCAGCAAGTCTTTAAATTAGGAACCTCTATTCTATTGGAAAGATCAAGAAAAAATTTCCCCTCTTCTTGATGCCTTTTTAGTTATCTCTTCTCACGGAAAAAAAAAAAAAAATATCTTACTGCTAAGGGTGGTAAATACAACCTAGAGCATGTACAGCCAAACTCATCTGTCTGTCTCTTTCCGCCTACACCTCAACCTCCCTTGAGGTTTGGGTGTGGCTATTCTGCCAACCTAATTCTGCCCTTTCCCAAGTTCCTGGATCTGTACATGGAGGGGCAGAAAGAAGCCTCTTACTCTGATAGGATTAAGAGAATGTGGGGTTTTAATTCCAGACACACTCTTATATCTATTGGATAGCTGGTTCAGAATCTATAAAGAAAAGAYGTTGATTAGTAACCTCATAAATGACACTAAAGAAAAATAAACACGAAAAGCCAAAGGGAAATGAAGATGTCTCCTGATCCAGTCCTCAGACTGTTATGTCAYATTATCCAACAGGGACCAGCTGTGGTGGACAGAGAAAAAGACAAGCCATGGTGACTTGCTGCCCAGAGGTTCTGTTTGAGTTGGGGGCCTATTATTCTGCTCCCAATTCAGTGAAAGAATAGTGCTCCTGAGAACAAAAAGGATGACCTGTGTAGTTCGCCTGTCGAACCAGGGGTTCAACAACCCACGCCTGAAYCCACTGGTGGTCATGTGACCCCAGTGGATTCCCAAATGGTGCCATTGCTCCAGGACTGACTTGCAGAGAATGAGCCAGGCAGTTAATTTACTGACAATTACTGCTTGGATTGTTATGAARGTAATAACAATCTTTGGAAATTTCCATAATTAAATATGAAAATACCACTGGCCAGGGAAGCAAACAGCTATGAGGTGACAATAAAAGAAAGTGAGAATGCTAAAAATTTCATTAAAAATGGGACTTCTGTGTCCCAGTGACATTCTGAGCTCATTCTCTCTTCATCCTGTCATTAAAATATACAAAATGAATGTTTTTGGAGCARCAATGCTAAGAATTATCGTTGCTGCAGTTGCCTGGCAACCTGAGGCTTTGGTTATTTTATTTCTAAACAGGGAATTCTATAAACTGATATCTAGAGTTTGTGCAAAGAGTTCTAAATTGATGTTCTCTCTGTAAATCAAAAAGAGATAATCTAACATTAATGTACATTTAAAGGAGGCTAAATAGGCACGTGTGTGTCTGCCTCATACACAAAGATTCTTGCACAGAGTTTCTGCCCACCTCATGCTATCTTAAGTAGATTTGGAGAACGAGTATTTGTATTTTTCTAGTAAATATCAATTTAATTTCATGGTACATGTAAATAATCAAGTCCAGAGGGACAGGTCTTTGGAGCCAAGGGAACTAAAGGTTGTAGCTAATAGTAGCCTTGAGCYACTTTTCTCCAGCCTTTAGACCCTGAGTGGGTTTCCAGTTCTGAAGGTGCACAGCTGATCCCAAAAGCTAAATGGATACTGGGAGGAGGTGTTTCTCCATGGCAAGGCAGAGGACCACCTGCATGCTTCAGAGAGGAGCATCCTGCAAAGCATCCTGGGAATTTTAGGCTTGCTGYTGCAGGTGTATACCATCTCATGCTGAAGAGCTGTTAACATTTTGAAAAAGCTGCCTTTGTGATAAAATGTCATTTCCTTGAAGTAACTGACCTGAATCTACAGTTTCTAGTGCTACCTGCTGGTTTGAGTGAATTGCTGCGCTATGGAAGCTGCTGTGTTCTTACACACGACCTGGTTCCTGACCCCTCACTAAAGCCTTTGGAGGAAAAGTGTTCCCATTACAGAGCTGGGCAAGGACATCCTTATTGCTCTGGCGGGATGGAGGTTTCTGCTGCGGGTAGTGTTTGCTTACAGTCTGAAGCTCATGACAATAGACTGCCTTAGGCTCCACGTGCTTTCTCGAAGTTATTGGACCACGGAGAGAAGGAGGTGAAGTCAGCACAGCTGCCTGGGCCCAAAGCACGTCTGTGACTGATCTAAACAAACAAGGATTAGGACTCTGSTCTGCACCACAGACCAAACCCATAAAAGAGGGGAACTGAGCATCACTTACATCACGGGATGGCTATGCAGTACCATTTTGTAAGTTGCCTGGGAAGAGCATGTCCCACAGACACAACATGAGAGGGTCACAGAGTCATTTTCCATGATGTYTTATTAAATGGGAGCCAAAATATTATCAAATATCTGTTATTTAGAAACAAGAGTGTGAGCATCCTGTTGGCAAATAAACAAACAGATTTSAAATCAGTTARGGCTTAGACACACCCAGACATAAATTCCTTAAGTAACAAAGTCCTTATGTTGTCTTTTGGGAAAAGCTCTCAGAATTCACTCAAGGACCGTTTGAAAATAGGCTTTTCAAGAACAGACATGAAAAGAAGCAGCCAGCTCATAGGGTCAATGGCCTCTGGATATCACAAGTGCAAAGACCCCTCAATAGAGCATAACTCCCCTGAGACATGTGACCTGTGACAGGGCACAATGACCATCCACCCTATGCAAAACAAAATAAAACCTAAAACTGGGCTGCAGGTCTAGCTCAGTAGCTCAGTGATAGAGCGCTTGCCTAGCCTGTGTGAGGCTCTGGGATCATCACCAGCACTGCAGTGAAAAAGAAAAAACACCTAAAACTTCTCCCTCTCATCATTCAACCAACAAGCAGCTTCTCCCCTCTTCCTTCCCATGAACTCCCCTACTACCAACCATCAACAGATGAGAAAAGCTTTCTTTTTCAAAATTTCCTGTCCACTTGACAGTTAAACTTCAATAAAAAGTTTTTTTCTTTTTTTAAAAAACCAGGTGCCAGAGAATTGGCTTCTGTGTGAGCTGGGCAGCAGCTCCCTGCTCAGTATCAGATTATGAGACCTACTAAAGCAATTGTTTTTCCAAATGGAGTAAATAGGGCCTGAAGTGTCACGATGTGAAGGATATGCTTCCTAAGGGTTTATACCCTTCATAAAACAACATCTAAAAAGGACCAGAAATTCTATTTTGAGAGAATTAAGTTGTGGTTAGCCTTCAGAAGAACTGGGACATAGTAGTATTTTTTTTATATACCTTTATTTTATTTGTTTTTATTTTTATGTGGTATCGGGGATAGAACCCCGTGCCTCACACATATTAGGCAATCGCTGCATCAATGAGCCACAACCCCGGCCCCATAGCAGCATTTTTGATAAAGCTAAGCTCACCCTGATACTTTCTTGCAGTGGCCCTTCTGGGGACCAAACCTAATGGTGTGGACCTAGGACACTGGTCTATGGCATGAGAATTCATGTCAATGCCCCTGTTTTTTTTATTTTATTTTTTTAATTCATCAAATGGGAAGACTTCTAGCACCTTGTTGCCCAAGAAGTGGTAAGGAATAGCAAACAACCGTAATGAATGAGCCTGAAGGAAATTTGCAAATGTGCTGTCAAAATGCTCAGGACAAGGACAGATTTTCCTGGTCATGAGGTTTCCCCAAAGTTAGAGAGTAATTTGTGCAGCCTGTCAGTGCAGAACTGACTAGGGGGT